AAAGATATACAAAATAATTAAATGTGGGTACTCATGTAAATGTTTCAAAAATGTATAGAATTACAGGAAATATTAACTTACTTTTTAAATTGTTTGTAATTTTGTAACTTATTGTAATGAGTATGTGCAAGAAATGAAATGCATTAGGAAACAAAAATTAGCAAATATTTCCCTATTTGACAAAGAATCAAATAACACTGAAAATTGAACTTGTCTGAAAATGACATAATGCAATAATACCTATACATAGGTGGAATTATCCAGTCCCTAGGCTGAAATATGCCCTATCACCAGCCTATACAGTAATATATGAAAGTTTATTGTTTTGAACATACATGTTTGTTTGGGTTACAAATTCCCAAATTAGTTATAAAACATTCATTTCAATCAGATTTTATTGAAAACATGATAAAGGGTTCTCTTTACTGGTAAAACACTTTTTAAAATAAGAAATTTAAGGAAACCAATTGGTAGAATTCTCTTTCATTAGGGTGTAGCGTACAGTTTAATTAATATGGAAATGAAGCATAAAAACAACAAATAGTCATACTATATCTTTTTACCCTGTTTCCTTAAGAAGTAAGAATACAACCAGTGAAAAGAAAAACTGTGTTTTTATATTAAAAAAAATATATTTATTATGTATGATTGTCATGGTAAATTAAATGTTATACAGTCAAAAGTCGTTAATTCGGACACTCATAATCCGGACCTCAAAGCTAAAAACTTTCTGCGCATGCGCCGCGTTGGCACATGCGCACAGCCGTTTTACGCGTGCGCGTAAGACCTTGACTACTGTGCATATGCGTGTGCGCAAGTGCAGAATACATTTTCGCCTGCGCGTTTAATGTATAACGGACGGTGTAGCTAAAATTATCTAATTATCTATTTCAGTTAATGTTAATGATTGCGTTGTTCCTTAATCTTCGAATTGGATCCCGCTTATTATTTTTTGCAGACTGTAAAAGCAATTTTATAAAAGTAAACTTGAACTTTCGATTATGTCAAATAGAATTTCTGATGCTGGAACTTCCAAAGGATCTACAAAACGAAAGTATGTTTCGATGTCCAACAAACAAAAAGTGGAATTGCTGCAAAAAAAATGGATAAAGACATGAAGAATGTGACAGAGAGGTTAGTGAAAACGAAAAAATTTCGATTGACACAGTTAGTCGGTATTCTCGGCACAGCAATTAACGGGACTTGAACAGTGGAACTTTGTAACTGAACAAGAAATTATGTGTTTTTATAGAATTAAAGAGAAAGTATTATCACATAAAATGAAGCAACTTTAAACAACTTACATTGAGAGAAAATGTTAACAAAAGTAAAACAAATAAATATTAAGCTTTTTTTTTTTTGTAAATTTTGATACCCTTTAGATCATAATTGTTCTTTATTTCATAAATTGCGGTTTCATATTTTTAATTTTAGAATTTCTGCATGCCATCTTACGAGATTTAAACTGATGATCTATAATCCGGAAAAATCGATAATTCGGAATCGCCAAAGTCCCGACGAGCCCAGATTAACGACTTTTGACTGTATATGTTGGAAGAATTATTATTTTTAATATTTAATTAAATAATGTCTGATTGAAAGTCTAGTTTTAAGTCATACTCAAAATTTATTAAAGACAGGTTTTAACAAGACAAAAATTCCATATGATGTTGGATTATTATGCAGAATTTCTGTCAAAATTAGACATAACTTTATTTTCTACGTACGAGATTCATGATAAATTAAATATAAAATACGCTCAAGAAGCTAGCTAAGATACCAATGTTAAAAAATATAATGCAAATTTGAAACACATACTTTTTAGCTTAAGTTATGATAAAATTGTTCTTTAGGATTCATAAAAAATAATGCCAATAATGATATGGCAATTTGACAAAGTTTTATTTCCATGGCTGCACATGTATGATTTGTGAAATAGTTGACAAATTTAAAATTAGTGAACTATTTCACAAATCTGGCTACAAATCTAAATAATGCATTATCCTGCAAGATATTCTTCTCTATAGTTAAAAATTACTTCAATCTTGATGCAACAAGCTCAAATAGAATTTTTATTATGTTTATAGTAGATGGTGGCAGCACCCGAGATATTTTAAAGTGTTTCCAAAAGTAATAGAATCTGTTAAAGTAATAAATCAAATCTTCTGTCAGATTAAAAATAAATAAAAAAACTGTGAGAACATTTCTTTATGTAAAAAATAAGAAAATGCAATATATTTTTTTGTATTTTATTTAAACTTGATAGAATATACATATGTAGTTTTAAGACCAGGGATTTAAAAAAAAAGCAAACCTAACGTTTATATCATATTAAAAATAGATGTATTTAAACAGAGTATTTATTACACACGTTTTGTGCCTGCAACTGTAAATTACACCAAACAGATAAAATATTTAATATATTATTATAAAGCATATATTAATATACAATATGAAGTTTTCTAGCATGCAACTAAAAATTAAAGCACATTCCTAAATACAAGGTGTACGCACTAAAGTAACCAGACAACATATAAATGAATGTTCAGAAAGAGTGACATGCCAACGCTTGTTAAAGCCAGTTTAAAGTGGTTACTTTGTCATTTGCATATCAAAATACTAGGGTCATTTTCATATGCCAAGGAGACATTGTCCAGAAAAATTTGCTTCGAAATGATTCGAACAGTATATGGTGATGCATCGTTATCAAGAACACAAGTATACGACTGGTATAACCATTACAAATATGAGTATCAAAATACTAAAGCTGAATCAAAGATGGGATGCCTTAAACTTCAAATGTTATAGTCCAAATAAATATAAACAGCGTTTAGATGACCTCAAGGAAATGTTGGAGAAACTGCATAAACTCATCTGAATATTATTTTGAATGACACAAAATTATTTGAAGGTTAGTAATATTTTTCTTATTTATAAAAAAATTGTCTGGTTACTTAATGTGTACTTTGTATAACACTATCAATAATCGGATACTTTGGTTAACAGATAATTTTACAGATTTTCTATCATATTAACCAACATACAAAACAGGTATGAGAACAACCATTATATAATGTGGGTACTTTTCTGTCATCAGGACTGGATTTAGAAATGTATGTATGTGTATATACACGCAAACACACACACACACACATATATATATATACATGAATCTAGGTCCGATAACAGAAAAGTACCACTGCTTATTGTAATACATGCAAAAGATTTCAGTTTTAGAAAGAATCCTGACATTTATTTTTAAACATTAACAGCATGAATTAACCTAAAAGTATCAATAAAAGTAGTAAACTTGATACAAAAACTTTAGGTTGATATTTACAATATGGTAACTGGTAGTTTGGCGATATTTTGGAGGCGATAAAGGTTACCTGGGACTTTGGTAATAATCTGAGCAGTACTCAGTTCCGATTACGCATTATTTTGCGTGAGGGAAATGAGAGATCATGGGATATGTCATGTGATATTAATGGACGAATTACGGTTCTTTAATCGGGAAAAGGGGGGGAAGGGGGGGAAATCGGGAAAAAATCTGGACAAATTTGTATTTAGCTTATTCTGTGTTGTGTGAAACAGTGTTGGTTAATTTTTGGATCCCATGGCCCTAACTAAAGTGAATTCGAAATGGGTATTTAGGCATTGTGATAAAGAGAAGTTTGCTTTTTATTTAGCGGAGGAAGTATGGAGGAAAAATTCGCAGAAAAAATCTTTTGAATAATTTTATTGAATGAATTAGAAAAGTGTATCCGCCACGTAATCAGATTCTGAAGAAGATAGATAAGTTAGTATTTTTAATTATTTGAGGATATTATTTTTAGCATTGTTCTAAAATGTAAGGTGGAAAGGATTTGGTATTATTGGGGGAAAATTGTTATTAGCAATGATTTGTTTAAAGTAATTAGGATTGTAAGGTAATTTTTATTAATTTAATGTATGTGCTCATTTATATTTTAAGTTAAGTTTTTGAATTTAATTAATTTTAATGAAATGATAGTTATTTTGTGAATTATAGGTTTGTAGCATTTTGGAATATGTTTCAGTAGAAGTAAACGTGCATGGAAATAATTTAAATATCTGACACTAAGTATTTGTAATGGTTGCGGTATGAATTCGTTGGTGACGTTTATAATATAATAGATGATTTAGAGGTAAAGTTTTTGGATATTTATTTATTTTATATGTGGAAAATGTTCATATTTGGAAAGTGTAAATTACTTTTTCGCGATCAGGTAATTTCATATATGTTCTTTTACCGGGTTTAAAGATTGAGAAAATTGTCATGTATTTTCGTGAATTTTTCTAATTCATGGAAAAAGCAGTGTTACATGGATATAGTGAAGAGTGTGCGCAATGCCATTTTTGTGCATTCTGGGGATGTTTTTTTAAGTAAAAATAAGTCGGCGTGTACATGGTTTATGTGTATGTGTTATTTTGAAAAACGCGTAAGGAGTATGTATTGTGCACTTTTTCCCAATTTTGCAGTGAATATTTGTCATGATTAAGCAGTTTTGTTTTGATAAAATTTCTAGCATAAGTGTAATTCGCTAGTAGATGTTGGAAGAAGTGTTCAGTAGATAAAAGAAAAGAAACATGTCTTTACTTCGTGAAGACAAATGGCGGCGGGGAAAAAAAAATAGAGGGTTGCTGTAGGAGAGTTGGTTGCCAAATTTTCGCCAAAAAATCGCCAAGTTACCATAATGTAAAGATCAACCAAACTTTAATATTCAGCTTTCATATAGATATAAAATTATCTAGCTGTTGTGAATTCCTTTATATCCCAGGATAACCATAAATTTACTCATTTGCAACAAAAATGACCATAGAAATTTTCAAGAAAAATTCATATGTGCTTCAAATGAGTACTTACACATGTTTTCAGAAAGAGTGATTTAAGTTTAGATAATGAGATGCATCATTTGAAATTTACAAACTAAAAGATGAAAGGCATCACACAATATGAAAGACTGCACAATACATAAATATACTTTTATGTACACATTATTTATTTTTAGTAACGTAATTTATAAGATAATAAACTTACAGTGTAGAAATACACTATTTCTATACATAGGATATGTATTTTACTTAAGAATAAAAAAAATAATAATAACAAGCATGGAATAATAAAAACCATCATATTACATTACCTATATACATACATCCATTTTCAGCAAAAACGTTTTCTGTATTTCAAAAAATGGAAACTGCATTTGATTGGCAATTTAAAAACGATCAACAAAATGAAGTAATCGCTGCTGCTCAGCTTCTCGAACAGAAGCATCGTTAGCATCACCCATATTTCCTGCATATTCTCTCATAACATTTCTAATAGTTTTAATAGAACCACCTCTCAAGTTCAAAATTTGTAGCACTCTCTGTTTGATAGAAGATGGTCCAGAACAGCATGTATCAACCATGATATAATCAATTAACTGCAATGTGAACAATCCTCCTTCTAAACGTCGCAAATAAAACTCCTCCTCCATGCTTGAATCTATTTCTTCCTCATTCATTTTGGACTTTTCTTTCTCAATCTGAAGATCAATATGATGAACTTTATCAAGATATTTAAAATGTAATTCCATTAGCCTATCGACTTTCTCATGATCATTTTCAGTGAATTTATTCAACAACCTTTGTCTTTGAGTACCTTTACAATTTTTAAGCATAGAAGCTATAATAGAGCACACATGTTCTTCATGCTGTTCTACAGATAAACCTTTTTTCCAGTTTTTCTTTGGAGTTTTCATGAAGAGTGGAAAGATTGATCGCAAGCCCAAAATATCTACAAATTTATTACAATTATCAGCACCTTCCGCATTGCACATAGCATGGTCAAGAACCTTCAGTGCACCATTTCGAGACATTTTCTTTTCTCTAAGCATGAGGTTCATCAGCTGCAAACCCTCTCCTTTCAAGAATTTTTCCCGATTAGCTGCATACATCAGAGATGAACATAAACAGTCAAAAAGATTTTCCATCATCTCATGTTCCTCAGAGTTTGAAGGATCATGTCGCTTAAAGTAAGCTAATTGTTGTAACAATACATCAATTCCTTCTATTTCTCCTAAATACTGTCTGTTCTCATCATGACGCTGAACTAAAATTGATAAGATTTCACTACAATATAATTTGTTTGCATCAAATGGCATCTTAGCTTTTATTCTTTTTAAAATCCATTGCATTAAACCTTGTTGAGTTGCATCAACACACATATCTACTTTGAATTCTGCCAAATTTTCAATTATGGCCAAAGTATTATGAACACCTTCTGCTTCTTCTTTGATTGCTTCATCTAAACGCTCAAGATTCTGAACTAGTAATGCAATGACTTGAGCTTCCAGCATAGCATCAATCAATGTTGACGCACCTTCTTCACTCTCATTCAATGTATCAATATCTGTCATTTCCTGTAATAAGTCAACAACAGCAATCGATATATCAGTATTATCATGAGTAAGAAGGCCAAGAATGGTGGAAACAGAATTCAGCTCTACCAAAATGTGATACAAATCAGGCTGTGTAGCAATAATGTGCATTTCTAAAATTATATCGTTCAATTCGATTTCAGAATCCATAAACTTTTCTGGTTGATCAGGAAACTTAATCCGCAGTTCCTGATTTTTTAATACCTTTTTATCAAAAGCTAGCAGTAGCTTTTTTAAGCTAGTGTCATCAAGCACGCCACCATCAGTTTCAGCCTCAGGAAGTTCTACTTCGGGTTCAGTATCTTGTTTCAGATTCTCTTTGTTATCATCTTGTAATTTCGGCATTTTCAAAGGCCGCCTTTCATGATGAATGGATTCTGGAACAGTAATCAGTCTTTTTGATCGAGGGCGAACTTCTACTTCATTTTCATCATCTGCATTGCCTCGTTTAGGTTCTTTTGCGGGCTTGTAATTAAGTAATTCCCCGACATCCATTTTTAACTTAATAAAAAAACACAAAATGTAAAGAATATTTTGCACTCACTTAAAAATGTGATATGTACCACGTTTTACAAACCGAATGTTTTCAAAACAACTCGTCTACCAACACCTTTCAAAGCTGTAAAGTGTCCTTACTTCAGACAGACAGACAGACAAAGTAGACAGATGTCTTGTTTTGCACCCGCTAAGTCTTTCTGCACCGATGGGCGAAAAATCAAGCATAGGTGCGAAGAAAAGGTATATAGAAGAAAGGGGGGCATTTCGTATTTGGGAGAGTTAAAAAGGAACTTCGTACATTTTACGAGTTCAAAAGGCCAGAAAGAAAAGATGGGACAAAATAAAATTTAAAATAAATGGCCCAAAAATAATAGAGGAGAAAAAAAAGGGCCTATAGAAAGAAAAGGAAAAGAAGTAGAAAATATCCTAAAATACGATTGTGTCCATGAGGTGTAGTAAGGAGTTCATCTGCAAAAAATTAGTGTCTTTAAGAAGCAAACTTAGCTAAGTTTAAAAAAAAAAAAAAAAAAAAAAAAAAAAAAAAAAAAGGAATGAATTCTACATGGTAATGTATGCCCTTATCTTGAGACCTAACTAGAAAGACATATATCATCCCAAAGTGTACATAATATTTTCCTAAAGTAACATTAAATATTACCGTTCCCAAAAATTCATGATTTCAGAAGAAAACAGTAATTGACAAAATTATAATCCCATACACAGTGTGAGAAACATTTAGCAAAAATAATTATACAGTTATTTTTCTTATATTAGTTAAATATAAAATTAATTCTTAATTAACCGTTGAAATTTATTTAAAGTACAAGTTGAACAAATTCCGTCACACTGTATTTTTATTTGCTCGTAATTTAAGTTTGAGACCTGAAAAAAAAAAAACTGGGTCTTGTTACAAAATCACAATCTATACTCGTCGTGATCAAGAGATCCCCATTTTTCCCTCACAAGAAATTCCTAAGCACGAAAGGGGGGGGGGGCCTCCGAAGGGTGTGAGTGCGTAAGAACGGACTACTGATAAGGATGTGGCGTCTCTACGGAATAGTTACGAAGAAAAGAACCACATGACCTGTACTATTACCAACTATTGTATAATGCTAGAATCTTGAAAATAATAAATAAAGAAAATTATGACACTCTAGTGATAGAGAAACAGATATTTTATAGAGAACAGATGTTACTATCTGAATATTCTGTGTCAGGGCCTCTTTTTGGATTCTGGTGTATGTGAACAGCTAACAAAACACCTGAAGTTTCGAAGAAGCGAAGTTCCTTTTCAATTTGATGATGATGCGATATTGCATAGGAAGGTGCATTTAACTATTTTAGAGAGTTGAACACATTTTGAAAACTATTTAAAAAAATTCGGAGCTGTGTTAGACACTGCCTCCAAGCTTTCGTGATCGCAGCGCTCCCTCCATAACAGCTCAATGTCAGGATTCTCGTCCTTCGGAGAAATTGCATGACAAGACAGACAGACAAAGTAGACGACGTCTTGTTGCCCGCTAAGTCTTCTGCACAATGGGGAAAAATCAAGGCATAGGTGCGAAGAGGTAATCAAGGTTCTTAAATACTAAAAGGCATGGAGGGAAGTAAGATGGAGTCGCCCTAAAAAGGTTTTCTCCCGTACCCTGCTCTGAAGCACCGGCGATCCCTACATGGTGACCAAAACATTGGGTCATTTACCATTGAGTTCTATGGGATTTGACGCTTTCGGATGTAAATATTTTGTAATTACGTCGAAATACATATAAATGTATATATTTCTTTTTCTACAACACTTCAGAGTCCTAAGTATGTGAAAAAACAACATATTTTTAAACACATTTCATTCTGAACGGGAATTAAATGCTTACTTTTTCACAGGACAGTTTCTCAGAATGGTTAATTGAATGAAATATTTTCACAAGTTTTCGTTAATTACATTAGAAAAAAAATTAAGGAATTCGATTTTTATTCGGTTAAGGGTACAAAAATTAAGATCAAAGTTTTTTATATTAATATTAAAATTATGCATTATTTTTTTCTTTATAGAGCTTTCTTCCTAAAATACTTTCTTAAATGACATTTTTGGCTTCTGAAGCCTTTTTAAATCGAAAATGAAAGTCAATTTATAATTAATGCCTATTCGGTTCATTTTAAATTAGAGAATTTAGGAATTAGCGAAATACTTTAAAAGTATTCGCTAATTCTAATAATTAAATAGTATTAAATATACTTGACTTTTCTGAACATTTCTGAAAGGGAATAATTTTTTTTTTTTTTTTTTTTTTTTTTTTTTTTTAGTATTTAAAACTTGTAACGAGTTATTATAAAATGTAAGGGGAATAATTCTTTTTTATATTATCAGTTTTTTTTTTTACCCTTCATTTCAACAATACATATTCCAAAACTCTTTATTTTAAGTCTTAGTGCGCATCTCATAGCATTTGCTTTACAATACCTTTTAACAGATGCTTTCCAATACGAACAATTTTCTTAATAGTTTTAAACGTATTTGTCAACAGGATTTCAATTTATGTTTACAATTCAATATTAAGGTTATATATTAGATAACATTATAATCCATTATAAATTAGATACATTTAATAATTAGATTTCTTCACAGTACTTTCACAGTTATAAGGAATAAATTCTTCATTTCAAACGCATTTATAAATAATTTAATGAATATTTAAGTATTTGTCAAAGGCAGATACATGCTTTTTGCAAGCACATGCATAAATAACCCATACATATTCCTATTTTCATTTCGGCATGTGCAAATCTTTAATTCTGTGCATTCACTATATTTTTCGTGTAAAGTAATTTACACTAATTAGCATACACCGAAAGTTTTACATAAAAAATATATATGAATATAATTTGAATGAAAATTATAAGTATTATTTTAATACCCCCACTCAAAGGTCAGTTTTTCTTCAAATTCCTCCACGATGGCATCTCTCTCTTTAGCAGATAGCCCTTGCATGCGTTACTCTATTTTAATCTGACTTGTCCTTACAAATATTTTAACGTACATAATTTTATATTTATAAACGTTGTAAGCCCAAAGTGATTATTTTTCGATATATAAAATTAAAAACGATGGGTTTAAAATGAGCAGCAGAAGCCTCTCCTCTAAAAAATTTTGAAAGGTCTGTTCATAATATATGGA